GAGTTGTTCCTCTTTGATCAGTAAGGGTCTGAAAACAACATCAATTTCACATTGAAAAATATTTTTTGTTTGTTTATTGTTGTTTTATTTAAGTAAAGAAGAAAAACAATATTTATATCGTAAATGCACAAATTGTAATGAAGACCATTAATCGGAATGTTATATGCCCTACAGCCAATTGTACATAATGAGAATTTCGGCAATGTAAAATAAAATTTTCAGAATAAAAAAAATACAATTCATTGTATATGAAATGAAATGAAATAAACATTAAGGGATGGTATTTTATGTCTTGTTTTTACGGAGTTTAATCGGGTTAATAAAAAAAATACTTATTGGTTGAGTACGCATGATCACAGCCAAGCCCCATATCCAATTTTTCTTTTATGATTGATATACATCGGGATCGTTTTACTCGTCAGTTTGACGCTTTATTTTTGACGTTAAATTTTACGTCGTGTCAAACGTTCAATTGAAATCGCAAGAGTTATCTCCCCAAGTGTGTTGTACGTCTTTAAACATACTCTTGATCCTGTTTTTCACGAATTTCCTCATACGACAGTTACAAGTTTGGTATTTCCCGTTGTTTAGCACGTCTTGGTCGATTTCTTCATTTTGAGTTTCTTTTAGAATCCACATCGTCATTATTTTCATCACTAGTCACATTGAATAAATGACAAATTTCACATATGATTTCTTTTGAAATATTTTCACTGGTATTTCCGCGCAAATTATTATTCACGTGTAACTAAATCACCATTATATTCAACATGATCTGTTTGCTTACACCGCTTACACATAGTTTGACAACTATTATTTTCTATCGATAATATGGATAAGGCATCAACATTTGAATGTTTTTTCCCTTGACAATGTACAATTGTAAATACAAAAGATTACATATTAGTCTATCTGGTTCCTTAAATTTATGAAGCCACGTTAACGAATCATGATCGGTTCTTAGTACAAATTCTTGACCCAACAAATAGTGTTTGTAATATTTTACAAAATAAATTACAGGAAGCATTTTTTTCCTTGTCACACAATACTTCTTTTCTGCTGAACTAGGAGTTCGACTTCCATAAGCAATATATCTTTCCTTTCCATCCTGAATTTGAGATAGAACAAATCATATAGCTTCGTTACTTGCATCTGTGTCCAGTATAAAAGATCCACCATTTACGTCTAGGTATCCTAATATAGGTGTTTCTTGTAGCTTTTGCCTCAGCTCACATAAGGCTTCGTCACATTCAGTCGTCCAATTCCATTTACTATTTTTACTTGTGAGAAAATGTAAACATTTAGCAATCCTGGCAAAATCCTGAATATACTTGCGATAATACGAAACCAATCCAAGGAAACTTCTTACTTCTGTAAAATTCTTTGGTACTGATATTCTTTTAACAGCATCAATTTTAGCAGGATCTGTTTTGATTCCTACTCCAGATACAACATATCCAAGGAAAGACACTTCCTTTTTGAAAAATGAAGATTTCTTTGTTTTCAACTTCAAATTTGTCTCCTCCAGTTTATCAAATACTCTCTGTAAATTTCCCAAATGTTCATCAAAATTCTTCCCATATACAATTATATCATCAAAATATAACACATCTATATTACACTGCAATCCACTCAATGCTCTTTCAATGATTCTTTTAAAAGTTGCAGGTGCATTACAAAGTCTAAATGGCATGACAGTATACTGAAATAAACCTCCCCGTAGTGTAGCAAAGACAGTTTTCTCTTTATCCTTTTTCAATATCGGTACGTGGGGGTACGCCATGTTCAAATCTAATGATGTAAACCATTCCGATTCAGGACTCTTGTCCTTCTTCTGAACCAAAACAAGTTGTGACGACCATGGACTGCTTTATTTCTCGATAATTTTCTTCTTCAAATAATATCTGTATCCCTTGTTCAAGACTTTCTCGTTTAAATATTGGTACTCGTCTCGGCTCCTCCTTAAATGGTGTTTCATCACTCAGATTAGTCCTATGCTCTCCAATGGTTGCTCTCTGTAACACCCCATTAGGATCAGCAAACATATCTATTCGTTCAATGAGAAACTTTTTAAATTTCTCAGATTCTTCAAAACTTAAATGTTGTCTTTCATTCTCATAAACTGGCTTCAAATGTTTTGGAATGTCTTCTTGCATTGTATTATCGAACATAAATCTCTGGATTACTTGAATCAACCAATTTTCTTCCTACCCCTATTCCATACGAGTTCACAAAGGTTGTTAAAAGCATTGGAATTCCACCTTCTCCATTAATATCAGTAATGCTTGATCTTACTACTGCTTCATGTCTTCCAGGAATTGTAATTGAATCCAAATTATACATTTTCCTAGATGGATACCATTCTCCTTTATTTTCAGAATCAAAAAGCATTTCCAATGCTTCTCATTGATAACTCCAATTACATTTTAATCTCAGAGAGAAGTCTTCTCCCAACAAATCATGTGTAACACTTCAAACAAAAACTGTAAATTCTATACTAATATCTTGAAATGTCAGCAACATTTTAGCTGTTCCCAAAAGCATAGATTTATTTCCATTCGCAGAAAAAAATTACTCTTCACTGGCTTTAGTACAGGTCTGTTATCTAGAAAACACTTGCTGTGGCCTTCAACTCAACATTTTGACCTATCGACAACGTATTGTCAATTAACAATGGTAATTTCCATTCCTACGTCGATACAATATATCTTGATGAGCTTGAGATGAAAGATACTACAGAGTCTGACGCATTTGTTTCATTCTTGGATGTTGTACCTGAAAAGACGTTAATTGTAATCCAACAATCAAGCTATATGATTTAACGTGATGACTTTAACTTTTCTATCGTCAACTTCCCTTACTTATGAAGCAATATACCTATATAAACTGCATATGGAGTATATTTATTTCTGTTGATTCGATACGCCAGAGCTTGATCTACGTATGACCAATTTCTGAAACGAGGTAAATTATTGACAAGCAAGTTGATGAAACAAGAATATCAACCGTCTCGTTTAAAGTCATCATTTCGTAAGTGCTATGGTCGATACAATGACCTTGTCAGCAAATACAATTTATCATTGAGTCAAATGCTTACTGACGTTTTCCATACCAAATATCAGTCCATAATTTATACACTGAATTGACAACGGATTTCTTCGTTATTTCCTGATCATGACAAGGAGCACACGGCGGGCGTGACCGGTCAGCAGGGGATGCTAACTCCTCCATAGCACCTGATCCCACCTCTGATGTTTCGAAGGTCCGTGTTTGCTCTGCTTCTATTTTGAACTGTTGTATGGACTCTGAGATTGAATACTGTTCGTTATTTACATATCCATCTTTCACAGTAATCCATGCTTTATGAATAACTAGGATTTTTTCTTTAAAAATTCTTTTAATGCCGCTTGTCGTTTTAGTGATCGTTTAAACTGTATAATGTTGTAACAAAAAGAAAAGGTACTACGAAATTTATTGTGTACTGTATATGTTTGTATACGTTGAACTTTTGAAAAGCTTACAATTATCTTTAGCAAAAACACATGCCTAGATTAAAAGGAGTGAAGGCCCGCCTCCTCTCTGATATTACACCCCTGATCCATACATGATAAACTTATCTGACATTAATCGATATTCCATGAATGTTAAAGTTTTGCCTCAATTTAAATGACTTTGAAGAGTTAAAAGCATAGACCTATGTAATTGGTTAAATTCTAATCTTCCGTGTTTAGATCTATATATAAGCTGTGAATATTTTCAAGAAGCACTGTATTCGAGAGGCACTTTCGTTAAGACAACAACAAGACAGTTAAACCATAGCAATGGTGTTGGTAGCGCTCCTTATGTCCGGCATTGTATGTACAAGTGCCCAGTACATTTACCCCAAAGAAAACAATCGCTGTGCGAGTAATGGAGACATTATGTTACAAATTCGGGATCTTCTGATCCAACAAGGGAGGATCCAAGAATCTGTAGATTCCCTCAGGCGGATGGTGAAAAGACTTGAAGATGATGTAACCGATATCCACGAAGATGTTCGAATGGTCAAGAATGGTAAATATGCATCTCACTTTCCCTCTCTTTCTCTGAAAATTACTTTTACACCTCTCTCTCTTTCTCTGTCACTCTCTCTGCAGTTTGAGTATTAATTGATATAATAAATACATAATTATAATGTACTTCCTTTACATTCAGATTTAAATCTTTATACGGATTGTCGGAATTACCATGTAGACGGTCACAAAGAGTCTGGTGTTTATCTCATAGATCCCCTCGGTAACAAGAATCTAGTCTCAGTTTTCTGTGATATGGAGACACAAGGAGGAGGGTGGACGGTGATCTCTCTCTCTCTCTTTCTCTCTCTCTTGAAGAGATTAATTTTTACTTTAAAATATATAGTAGTTTGAGTTTATAACCTTCAGATTCATCGTTTTTTCTTCTTGCTGAAAAAGAACTTGGAATTAGCATGACAATGGTGTTTTATTTTACTACAACTACAAATACCAACGTGTTTTTATCGTTTCGAACATTTTAAACGTTAAAAAAATAATAAGAATAAGAAATGAACATAAATAATACAAATATGATTATTATTCCATTATTTTGATTATTTCATTATATATTGAAGGCAATTCAAAAACGGATAAGCGGTTCTGTTGGTTTTAACAGAGGGTGGGCGGAATATAAAAGAGGATTTGGGAACGTAACAGACTCTTACTGGATAGGTGAATATATCTTTATTTCAAATAATCGGTTCTTTAATGAATGGACTCTTTGATTTATGTGTTGCTGTCTTAGTTAAAATAACCTTTCTTATTATATGAATGAGTATAAAGATCGCTTAATGTAAATACATTTTATACAAAATATAATTGGATTGCTGACGTAACATTTCTGCAAAATATTTAAATGCATAGGTTCCATTTTATTAGGACAACCAAAAATATTTTCTTTTTCATTTTTATGTTTGCCTAGTGCAATGCAACATTAAAATATTGCAGGAAATGACGTGATTCATCAGCTGACAAAGGGAAGGAACTCCTCCCTCTACGTCTCCATTACATTAACAAACGGCACCACGTTATACGAACTTTATCATCATTTTTACGTCTCTGATGAATCAGATAATTACAGACTCTTTCTCAGGGGACCAGTTACCGGGACATTAGGTTAGTAAGGTTCAAAGGAGAAAGGAAGAGGGGTAGATAGGTGAGGGAGATTTGTGATTAGGCCAACAACTACAATTTCTCTCCAGGAAGAGCCAGCATTTGTACTCTTACAGTTTTGTATGTAGATGTATTAGATTTATCTTGTGAATATCCCTGATTTTATTTATTTCATTTAATTTATACTTTTTAACCAGCCTTTTGCCTTAGGGCAAAAACTATTTACCATTCTTGAATTTATACATTAACGCTTAAGCCATAGTCATTTTATTTAATTTGTAATTCTATTATTATTAAATTAAAGAAAATACAAATATCAAAATGTGAATAATACAATAAAATCCCCGCTGTTTTTTACCCTCTTTGTTATAAACTACTACAGTAAAACTCGGTTATAGCGAAGTCCTGGGGACCTGTGAATTTAATTCGCTGTATCCGTAATTCGTTATATCCGTATAACGTATTCGTTTAACTACTATAGCGAATTCGCAATATGCATGTTTTCCTTCAAGTATTACTACCAACTATGTTAGTGTAGCAAATATAACAGAACGTATCTTCGATACCTAAGGTTTTATCATGAATTGAATGGTATATACAAATGCTAAAAGGAAATAAAGTTAGTTCAATTTATCAATTTTTATATAATTTTTGAAAGTTCGTTATAAAAGATGTAAATTTCATTATATTTAACCTCAACGGAACTCAAAATCAGTTCGCTATATCCGTAAATTCGTTATATCAGAGTTCGTTTTAACCGTAAAAGTTTACAAAGATTTAAGAATTTCGCCGGGGACCCAGAAAAACTTCGCTATATCCGTAAATTCGCTATATCCGTGTTCGTACTAAACGAGTTTTACTGTAATCAAGTAATAGATATCACTTCTAATGCTGGCAATAAGACTGATAAAAGTGAAATAATAAGGTGTACAATATAAATTTATATCAAAAAAGTATGCATTTTTTACTTCAAAAATTATAAAAGGAATGTTCAGGTTTGATAGAGAAGACACTATCATTTTTGGTATATTTCTTACTACAGGTGACTACAGTGCTAGACATAGGTTTAGTCATGATGTGTCTAGGATAACGATGAAATGATTGTTGTGTTTATATTGTTATAATATTGTATTTCAGGAGACGCCATGACAGGTAGCCATAACCTGTCTGGAATGTCATTCTCCACCCCGGACAGAGATAACGACATAGTTAGTCATAGCTGTGCTGCTCTCTACAGAGGAGGTTGGTGGTTTAACCACTGTCACCACGCCTTCCTTAACGGTCCATGGTCCCCGGAGTCCTGGACCTACCCATGGTTTTCAACAGTACAGAGTGGGACCTCAGTGAAGGGGACCACCATGATGGTCAAACATAACTAGGTAAACACTATTAAATCTTAATAACCAGTTTTTTTTCGTTTTGTATTTCCGTACAAATTTCATATGGTTTTAGAGTTTTTTAGATAGAGAAATGTGCTGTTATATCTGTCAAGCATTAATTTAATTCTTCTTTTTTTTTATTTTTAACACATGAAAGACCATCCATGTTCTTCTCTACCCCAGGCTATAATATTGTATTTCAGGAGACAGCATGAGAAGCCGTCAAGATCTGTCTGAGATGTCATTCTCAACCCCAGGCAGTGACAAAGACGGGTTTAGTTATAGCTGTGCTGCTGTCAGTAGCGTTAGAGGAGGCTGGTGGTTTAACTCCTGTGACCAGGCCTTCCTTAACGGTGAATGGAATAACAGCAGACCCTCATGATGATCAAACCCTATTGTATAAGTTACATGACGCGTAAATGATGTGCTGAGGTTGACTGTGTTATATCTTATATCATAGTAAGAGATTGTAAAGAAGACTCTTCTGATGATAAAACCTCACTGACCGTGTAATGTGTAATATCTTATTTATTTATATTTTTTTTTAAAACGTCCTGTCATTTTAATAATAATCTCATAATCAGGTAAGGAAGGATATGGAGATAAGGAACAGTATTCAGTCTCAAAGTCCATAAAACAATACAAAATAAGAGCAGAGCAAACACAGACCCCTGAAATATCAGAGGCGGGATCAGATGCCAGTGAACATTCCCATGCCGACCGGTTACACCCGCAGTCCTTCTTCCTTGAAGATTTTATACAAAATATAAAATAACACCGCAACAAGAAAAGTCAGGTCAAAAGATTATTGATTTATCTTTGGCAAAATACGTACGAACATGAGCAATTATATCAACGAAATTAAAATTCAAGCTCACACCCAGCAGTTTGACAAAAGCTTCTATTGCAGCGGCTTTTTCTTGATGGCAATTTACACAAAGGGTATAGATATTTTGAAATAAAATCACATTGGTAGTAAAAAGGTGTAAAATATAAATATATGCAATACATTTTTATAATTTGAAAAGATGCAATTTCATAACTCAACTAGACAGTATGTTCAAAAAAGAGGAAAACGTGTTACACCGTTTTAGTTATGTTACTTTATATTTCGAACAAACATTGCTTGAGGATCAAAGAGTTAAAATATTAACGAGCACCCCCCCTCCGGGAATTTAACTTATTTAAGTTCATACATGAACGTAAACCTTACAATAAACTTAGAAGAAATACATAATTCCGATTTATTTATTCAACACAATCATTAAGAACTTTTGAAACAAGGAACAATATAAGAAATTTTTGAAAAAAGAAACAAATGGTATAATTGTGACGCGCCTAGCAAAAACCTCCCTTATCTCTATTTTGACGTAACATCAAAAGACGTGTCTAAAGTCAACAAGGTAAATGCGACGTAAAAACGTCTCCTTGAGAGAATTCTCCCCAGTAGAACAATGGGATGTTGTTTTATTTATATGCTACTTAAAGACAGATTCTTGGGTGTAATTTGATGTAGTTTATTCATTAGGCACTTAGTCTCCGTCAAGTGTCTATGTGATCTTTCCTTTTCACTATAAGTGCATATTTTTAAGGGTTTCCAGTGGTGGATGAAAAATTCCCGTAGTGCCGTTTTGAAAATGAAATTTGTTTGCCCTCTCCCTAGTCGGATTAAAAAATTGCATCTGTAGTTAGGTTGAACTTTTTTTGTCGGAAATTTTCAGTGTTGAAAATGGGTGAAGGCATTTCTGAAATAAAAAAGTTGTTGATAGGATGAGAAAATTCCGGAATGAATAATTTGGAAGTTTTAAAAAAAGATTTTAATCGGTTCATTTTAAAGGTCACATAAACAAGTTTTTAAAGATAGTTTTCTTTTTAAATTTAATGTCCAGCTGTTTCATCGTGATGCACATGCAAGAAAAATTTAACAGGAGCAATAAACTAAGGTATTTTTTTTAAAATAGCGATGCAGTGAAAATTTGACCTAAATTACTTCATTTTTATTTATGGAATGAATTGAATAGCTACCCAATTGACACAAACTGAATTGGAACAGTTAACGCTGCCATTTTATAAATAAAATGTGAACTGTTACATGTATTGATAAAGAGTTAAGTTTAATTTTTTTAAAAAGTATTCTCTATAGATACGACACGGAGTATTTAATTTGGACACTTCCGGAATTAGTTTTAGCTGTTGCTTTAAAATGAATATTTTGAAGAAAGACCTTTTGAACTTTTCAATTTATTTTATTTGTTAAACACCTCATGTTGTACAAAAAATGTAGAAAAAATTCGCCCCCCCCCCTCTCCTGTGTCACGTATCTGCTCTATTTCTTTAGATACTTCGTGCAAATTTTGCCTTGAATATTACGGATGCTCGCACATATTGTAAGTTACAGTCCCACTATCTAAGATATATTATGATTGAGAATTAAACAGACTGAACATATGTTTACCGACCTTTTCATAATCGTTTGATGAGGTTATACACAATACACCGAATGTAAAACATTGCAAACATGATACATCACTAAAATGTTATAAATAATACAAATTGCTACAAATTAATACAAATTGTTTGCACACTTTTAAAACATTCCAACCTATTATTATTTTGTGCATGGTTTATCTACATGTACTAAAGAAGATTCCGGAGTTCTGGATTCCTGAAAACAACATAATTTCGGTCATCTATTAAATCGCTGAATCAGGCTGAACATTGCATGTACATGTAGTAACGTCTCCAGTGCTCATTCAGCCCTCTTAACTTAAAACATCAATCCAGTATGAAAAGTACACATAAAACGTTTTAGAGGTTAAATATTTTCTTTTTAATGATTTTAATGATTTTATTTTAACCTATAGTATTAAGGATTATTTAACCTGTAATAATTATTTCCCCGTCAAAGACTTTACCACCAACATTTCATGATTTAAACTCTACCTTGGATAATACATGTAATAATCTTGTTTCCTTCTGTTGAATCGCAATTAAATGAATATGTATATGCGTTTCAAATTATGAAAATTTGCTACCAATTACACGTAATTTATTAGATATATACATGTAACAAACTTTAACAATGTCAATAATTTTTTTCCTGCAAAAGTTGCATTGAACATGCGGACATGTATATGTATGGGCAGTTTAATGCAAAATTAGTGCGGTACAAATCTGCACAAAATATGTAATTCCGTGGTAATATGCCTAAATTTGTTCAAGATAAATGGAAGTTGGAAGATATATATATCTGAATATATTTTACTTAAGTCAATGATCAAAACGCTCTATATTCTAAGATAAAGAATTTATCGAACATAAAAAAAAATACATGTTGGTCGGCTTTAATATTGCGTGCTTGATCCACTAACCCATTCATACAGCTTCTCGTGTGTCAAAAAAAATCTATAAATTACAACAATTATTTAAAAAAAAAATAACAAACGTTACAGCTGAAGATGGTGTGTTCCCATTTTGTAAAATACAGGTAAGAAAAAGTAAAAAAGTACTAAGGTGAAATACGAATTTTAGTATTTGTAAATATTATTACTAGGTTGATATAAAAATTTAAATGATAATTTTTTTTAGATTGAATTTAACATTTCATGGGAATTTATAAATACTGTGAATGAAATAATAAGTGTTATACCAAAAATACGTTATGCTAGATATATTAAATCTTCATCACCTTAATTCACCTGAAAACTTACTAAAGTGAAATGGGAATGCTAAATTTTACAGTTAAGGCCATCTTCGCTAGCCAAGAGTTTCTGATACGCTACTCTCCTCATGAACACTTGGCATACGATGAAGTCAAAAGACGGGATTGTTTTCCGTCAGGTGATCTCGAATCTATCAGGTACGCACAGATTGCATCATCGACAGAAATAAAGACACGTGTTTAAAAAAAAATTAAATCAATGTTTTTTTCAAGAATAATTAAGAAGAATAATTGAGCTATGTTTATTTATTATTTATAGTACAAAATCTGAAGCTTCAATATAGATTCTTAAACACAGATTTAGAAGATACTTGATGACACCATAGCTATTCATAGAATTGCATGGTATCTTACGGATCGTTGTTTATTTGCGTTTTTCGTTTCCGAGGTTAAAGAGTAAAGAAGTATCCCGAACGCAAATATCGTCATTTACCAAAAGCAATTGCTGATTGGTTGACCGGGTGTAGCGAATCCCGCAGAGCTCCAGATAATTTTTTACCCCAAAGTGTATTTACTCCCTGATTTTTTAATCAATGCAGATTTTGATTTTCAGCAAAATGATTCAAGAGTATTTTGTTTATATATCTATGTTTTGACCTTGATTTTAAGCTTGTAATCGAAGTATGTGTTTTTAAAGAGGGAAAAAACTTCAAAGGTCAGTTTCTGCATTTATTTATATAAATTTTGTAAATACCAACAAGACTTGATGCTAGGATTGGGCAGCATTCTTTTTTGACAAGGAAGATTATACAGTAGGTCAAGGTACCACAGAGTCAGAGACACAGAAAACTTTCCTTCATTTAAGATATCGTATCAAGAGTAAACTGAAAGAAAAGAATCTTCGAAAATGTGGCAAGTTGAGAGAGATGAAAAATTGGCTATGAACCCATAATAAAAAAAAAAGTTATGCCTGGTGCATAGTCTTTCTATATAGAAATAGATTTTAATCTAAATTTCCGATTCCTCCCGAAATGGAGATCGTCTTCATTACTAGAATATTCCTGATCACTAAAAGGCTTTTAAATCTGTACTTCGTTTTGCTAAAAATCAAACACTGAGTTAACATCAATTTGTATCCTTAAGTAAGTCATACCTGTATTCTTCAACTTGTATGCAGTACTTTCGTGGTGTAATGTGTATCAATGATTGCTAATGCGTAATTGTACGCTCTATTTTAATTTTCAGTGTGTATTTTGTAAAATTTAATGCGTATTTCTGCAAATACGCACCTTATCTGGAGCTCTGATCCCAATCAGAACTCGAGAAAAAAATCCCAATTTCTATCAACACCGTATGCCAAGGGTTCATGAGGAGAGTAGCATGTCAGAAACCCTTGGCTAGCGAAGATGAGTTAAGGCGATATGGGAACAAACCCTTAAGATTGTACATGTGTGCTTTGTTCTTGTTTAATTAATTCAGGTAATCAATTAAGCGTGAATGTTCAGATCTGAGACACGCCCCCCTCCCGTTTACGATGATTGAAGAATATTAAGAATGTTTTACCCGTTCTCTTACTTTCTGTTGCTATTTTAAACATGAGTGTTTTAAC